CACGTTAGACCCACGGGAGCTGCTCAGCTGCCGGAACCCAAACACTGAAACTCCAGTTGCATGTCAGCACAGATGTTCATTGAGAAGTTTGGAAATCTGGAGTTGGTGAGTCAGCAGAGCGCAGTCGGTGACCCCACTCTCTAACTTTACGTTCGTGACCGAGTGGCTGGTTGCTAAACTTTACAAAAACACATCTTACAGTCGACTGTGGAATATGTAGGAGAGAATAAACTGTTGCAGTGACGGTATCCTGTTATAGTACGACGCTCAAACTCAGCGTACTCGTTTGAATGATCTGTCACAAACATTGGAATGCCACAGCTAGGTGCACACACCTGTGACACCTCACTCAAAGATAAAAGGTGGGCCCCAATTCTTCCATCCATATAGCACATGCTCTACAGTGAACAGTGTGCAATATTTTTCTCATTAGGAAGCAGCAGTAACACGTTACTTCTATACTAGTCTGGTGATATGGCCGCAATAAAGTCAGTGCAGTTTGCACAGAGCTCAGAGCAGCTGCTTTTAGCTTATATACTCTAACTAAGCACTAACTGTTTTACAACACACACTAAAAACGATTGTTCAGGTAGCTTTAGTTCATTTTACATCTGATTCCAAACTACCAAGCTTCTATCAGTACCTGCTTTGCCTGCTGCACATGCAATTATGAACGTGCCCAAATAAAAGTGATTTCTGTGTTAAAGATGAGTCTACAACCTCACTAGGCAGCTGAAACTGTAAGTGTACTGAGACTGGAGAGCTGCATTCAAAGTTTGGTCTAACCAGTTAAACCTGTAAACAAGATCCTAGAATTATTTGTTTTATGATTTACCTTCAGGGAGGAAAGAAAAGTCTGGAAGGGAGGGAAGTAAGATGTTCCCCAGAGTAGGGCAGCTATAAGGAACTATTAAATATGACTTGGGGCAACTTGGAGGCTTTAAATGCAGTTTTTATTTACTAAGACGGTGCATTCTTTCATCTAAAACAAAACCATTAATGACGTGTAGCACTACACACAGAAGTGAAGGTGCACGGTAAATCACTCATAATAAAGCTTTGGTCACTTTAAACCATTGCCGACAACAAAAAGGCTGCCCGAGGCTGGTACCTGTCCAGGGCATCCTTGAGCTCTTCGGTCCTCTCCTCTCTGGTTGGGTATGGAGCTGCCCTCCGAAACACGCGCGGCTGTGGAGCACTACACAGCACAGGTGGCGGTTTATAGGGCCGCTAATTGACAGCGTTTCACGTTTATATATTATTGAGAGCTAGCAGCTAATGCTAACCTCGCTAGCCTGGAAACTCACCTTCCGTTCGGGTTACCGGATGGCCGCCGACCACCCGCAGGTGATTTCACCCAAGACGACATTTTGCCTGCCTTTAAACTTCACCTCAGCAAAAGGCAGCTTCAAAAACACCCAGAAAAAGACGCTCTCCTGGTGTTATTCCGCCAATGTTACCAGATACCAGCCTGTGGTGATGAACGAGGAGGAGGGGAAGAGCTCTTCTTCTGGCATTACTGCTCTCACAGTGTGTAGGTGCACCATCGCCCCCTGCTGGACGACCCTCTAATAACATTAATGGTTGCGCCTTTGAAACTCCTAGCAGCTTCTAGCTCTTTGTTTACACATTAAAAGTGATTTGTAAACAAATAGGCAGAAACGAAACTACAAATTAACTAAATGTAGGTGTTAAATTAAAAACTTGACAAATAATTAATAACTAAGGATGTAAAAAAATGAAATACAAAGTGATAATAATCGTGAAACACATATATTAGTAAATAAATATGTGACTCCATTAATTAGTTGAATTAAAAATACAGATTTCAGTACAGCATTTACATTTGTACACTGTTGTTTATTGTCATATCAGATTGTTTTTCTTCTTTCTTCTGCTCCTTCACATTAATAATCTCCCTCCATCTCACTAGCATGCATCTCTGTCACACCAACTCACAGCAAGTCCTCCTTTCTTTGTGGTCTTCCTCCTTTCTTCCTGCCTGTCAGCTCCGTATTCGCCATCCTTTGTAAAATCAAAATCCTGCTCCTCACATACAAGGTCTTAAATAATCAGGCCCCATCTTATCTTAATGACCTTGTAGTACCATATCACCCTATTAGAGCACTTCGCTCTCGCTCTGCAGGCCTACTTGTTGTTCCTAGAGTATTTAAAAGTAGAATGGGAGGCAGAGCCTTCAGTTTTCAGGCCCCTCTTCTGTGGAACCAGCTTCCAGTTTGGATTCAGGAGACAGACACTATCTCTACTTTCAAGATTAGGCTTCAAACTTTCCTTTTTGCTAAAGCATATAGTTAGGGCTGGACCAGGTGACCCTGAATCCTCCCTTAGTTATGCTGCAATAGATGTAGGCTGCCGGGGATTCCCATGATGCATTGAGTTTTTCCTTTCCAGTCACCTTTCTCACTCACTATGTGTTAATAGACCTCTCTGTATTGAATCATATCTGTTATTAACCTCTGTCTCTCTTCCACAGCATGTCTTTATCCTGTCTTCCTTCTCTCACCAACCAATCACAGCAGATGGCCCCGCCCCTCCCTGAGCCTGGTTCTGCCGGAGGTTTCTTCCTGTTAAAAGGGAGTTTTTCCTTCCCACTGTCGCCAAAGTGCTGCTCATAGGGGGTCATATGATTGTTGGGTTTTTCTCTGTATATCTAATTGTAGGGTCTACCTTACAATAAAAAACCCATTGAGGCGACTGTTGGTGTGATTTGGCGCTGTGTAAATAAAAGTGAATTGAACTGAACCAGGTTGGATCTCCATATTCTTCTGTTTCCATATCCTAAAACTATTATCCAGGCTGTATCTGACAGTACCGTCCCAGGAGACTCCAAGTCAGCTGCACTGAGTTGTGCAGCTGACTTGGGTGTGTATAGTCCCACGTTGCCTGTTTCTGGAAAGGTTAATATAGGTTACGACTGACAATGCAGCCCTCAAGATACCTTGAGACAGCTGCACACGTCAGTACAATGATCACATTATATTCCGTTCATCTCCAAATCTCGATTTGAGGACATATCATCAGTAACTGATGGTTCAGTGAGGTTCAACATTTTAAAAATGACCCTTGGCAATTGTATCCAAGTCCATCAGTCCTTGGCACGTGTCTCTTGGCCAATTTTGTTTTCAAATTTGCTGTTATTCAGCACGAGGAAAAGTCTATGACCTTTTCTAATAACATACATACATATGTTTTAGTTACCTTAATCAAGATATGTCTTCATGATGGAATGAGAATCAACTATTATTTTAAGTGTGCTGTCGTGACTTGACTCAGAGTTCACCTGTGTTTTTCTTTTCCTGGCACTCCTCCTGTTAAACTGTTTGTCACAGAGCAGAGTCTTCTTAATTTCCACTGCATCTCCAGTTTGAAGCTTTTGTCCTTATTGCCCCCTCTTTTTCAACCATTTTCTTTTTCAGAAGGACTTCCAGGGTTACCACATGAGCTTTAGTATGAAGCCCTATATTTACTGATGATTTATTAGAAGCTTGTGTTTTTCTTCAAGCTTTTTTCCCCCCTTCTTCCCTCCTGTTGACCTTAAAACTGCTCATTAAGGGATTTATTGTCCTCCTTTATCTGATAGAAAGAAAGCATCTGTCCCTCAGTCCCTGAGCAAGTGTGTTTCAAAACATGAATTCAAATTCATTGTGTTCAACAAAATGTGAAACTCTAGACAAAAAAACAAGGACTCGACTTGGCAGTCGAACAACGCGAATGTTGGTTTTGATGAAGGAAACAAACTGTCAGTCAAGATGGGAGCATGCAAAGATGTTTCTGGACAACTATACAGCTAACATGTTGTATTATGTCAAGACTCGTAAGATTTCACCTTAAGAATACCAAGCTATGAATAAAAACATATTTTATCTTGTTTAATATTTTCAATATAATTCTATTTATGTTATTGGATAGTTAGATAACTAACGCTATCCAAACTTTGAGGATTGATTCAAGGATTTTTATTGTCATTCCAACACCTGTACTGATCAACAACAACGTGAACACAAGAGGAATATATGCAGAACCAAGGAGCTGAACATGTTTACAACATGTGCAGCAAATAGCACAAAGACAGGCGATTGCTCATATCTGTTACTTTTGGTTGGGAGTAGCAGATGATAGAAAGCACCACCAAAGTTCAACCGTGTTAACAGTCTCTTAGTCTGGGAACTCTACTCTTGATGCTCCTGCCTGAGGGGAGGGGGACAATAATAGTGTGTGTCCTGGGTGACTAGGCTCTATCAAGATACAGCAGGTCCTTTTCCTGCATCTGCTGATGTAGATGTCCGTGGTGGTGGTGAAGCTGCTGGCAACAAATGTGCAGCTTTCTCACCCTCAGTAGAGTCTTCTTCCCTGTCACAGAGCAGCCGCCACACCACACGGTGATGCACGAACCACACATCTGCAGAAGGAAGGAAGGAAGTGTTTTGGCTCCAGGTAAAATCCTTGCTGGAGACCATTTTCACACCTGCTTCCCCACTTTCTGTGCCTCCTGAAATCTATATCTCGTTTATTTTCTTGACATTGACGCTGACACCAAACTGCCTTTCCGCCTGCTTGTAGTCAGACCAACCTTGTAGGTATCTGGCCAACCCTGCAGGCTATAGGTGGGATCCTTTTTTATTTACAACCTAATGAAACCCAAATCGTCTGCCATGTCCCTGAATCTACAACCCCAGTGACATCATTTCATCATTACAAAAGAAACAGAAAGCACAGGCTGCAGAGCACCAGCCTGCTCACCTTCACGTGTGAAATTTGCGGAGGTCCCTTTAAAACGTATTCCTTCCTAGTTAAGGGGGAAAAAAATCTGTACAGCAAACCTATTTATTTAGATTTTTTAATATCGCCAGTTTCATTGTTTGTCTTATATAATTTCTTCTCTTTTATCGTTTTAAATGAATAAAATACTGGCTGAATATGTGGCGGTTTCAGGTGTGTGTCGCGCGAATAAGTTCACGCACTCGTCTCTCTCGAACCGTGAGCGCGCCGCGGCGGTGACAGTCGCCATTTTATTTTGAAAATCAAACTGAATTGAAGGCACGGCAACCCTTCCATTTCGTCAAGTTTGTTCCGAGAAACAAAAAGAGATGAGGATCTGAATTACTTTATTGAGAGCACGGTGAGGCTTGTGATGTATTTAACAAATGATCGTGGATTGCTTTAGGTTGAGAAATTGGCACAAAAGCAGCGATATTAATACGGAGAATAGCCGTTAGCTCCCGGAGCGGGGGAGGTCTACTTGCTGAGAAACAGCTGTCATATTGGTGAACGCAAAAAAGTAAAAATTCTATAATTTAGCAAAGTTTTTCGTGTAGCGAAGGTACCGCTGTATACGTGTATTTGTTCAGGTAACACGTGAGATTTACGTTATGTCTGAAGACAGCAGTTTTAAGTAAAGTGTTAGCGATTCCATAAACTAGTCGGAGCCCGAAGAGAGAGCGAGGCTAACGTTAGCTGACATGATCGCGCAAAACCCGTCCGAGTATTGCGCTCGCGGCCTTCAGGTTTCCGGCCAAATGTGGCGTTCCAAACCTTAGTAGTTGCTTACATAAACAACTTATATCTGAATGTGTAAAAGGAATGCCATTTTATTCGATTCTGCTGTATAACAATAACCAACATGAAACGGGACTCACGTTGCTGTTAGCTTCACATTGCTAATGAGATAGCATTAGCCTGTACTCTCGCACCCGGGGCTGGTAATGGGTTAAAGTTGGTATTTAACCTGCGACGAATGGTATCGATCCGATTTAAATTCCCGTTTAGACTTGGCTGAGTAAACAATAATACATCTTATGTTTTATGTTAATACGAAGCTAATATTCGGTGAACACAAGGGCTAACTGCTCCGTAGCAAGTGTTTATCAGCGTCATGGTGATAGTTAGCTCGAGTATTTGGCATGTTTCACTACTTGCTACATGAACCGAGTCCCTGAATCTTGACATTTTTTTTAAACGTTGTCTTTATTCGCATATTAAGACGTTTGGGTAAATTATGAATCTGTTAACGCTCATAAAAATGTCTCATGCTTGCGCATAGGTACTCTCCAGGATTTGGTAAGTTACGTTAGCCTGCTCTTTGTTTCAGTGTGTGATTTCCACACTTGTCCTTTTCTCATTGTAAACTCAGGGTTGGTTGCTCTTAACGCCACGTACTTTTTTGGGGGGCATTTCATTAAGTGACCAAACTGCAGTGACTCTGTTCCAAACATTACGGTGCTTTTAAGGCCTAGTGTAGTTTATGCAACCCTATACAATCTTGGTGCATATGTTGTACCAAACTGTGTGGCAGTAACTTCTTTTACTGTTGTTTCTGAATTTATTAGCAGATAAGTAGCCATGCAGCTATTCACTGCATTGTTGGGTCTGTCATTCAAGTAGGCCTCATAGGCTGCCATAGTTTGTGTTGATAGTGGACATTAGTCGCACCTAGTCTGCACATAAAGTTTAGTGCAGCTCAAAAGTAAGTTTCTCTCTTATATTTCAAAGTGATTTTTGTGTTTGTTTTTCTTATTTCAGATGCTGAACTTGATTTTAAACTGAAAGACTCTACCTACTTAGCACCGGGAGCCACCCATCCACCATTACCTTGGAAGTCAACATTATTCACACCTTTTGGGGGGGGGGAGCAGAAGTAACTTATCACTGAAGTGACTAAAGGGGAATAATGGTGATTTTGCGCCGTGCTCGGCCGCCTGCTTCCGCCCCAACCAGCAATGAATCTTGACTCGCTCTCGCTGGCTTTGTCTCAAATCAGCTATCTGGTGGACAATTTAACAAAGAAAAACTACCGAGCCAGCCAGCAGGAAATACAGCATGTGAGTGGTAGCGAAAAGTCTTTACCGTTATTTATTTAATTTTAAATTTGCAAACGGATATCTTGGAATACTTAAACATCACAAGATATTCTATTCACTTAAAGTTGTAGATGTTTAAAACCTTAATTAAACCAAAAATTGCATCTTTCTTCTGTTTTAGAGAGCTTTGTGTGTGTGTGTGTGTGTGTGTGTTTGTAAATTTTATAACGCTAATATGCTAAGCCTGCCCAATGTTGATCAGGGTCTGCGCATCAGAGAAGTTTACGTTGGCTCACTTTAAAGATACTATTGGATCAGCTGGGCATTGCTCTTTTTCCCTCAGTGAAAGGTGTTTTGATGTTTCACTTGTGGCCACATTGTTATGAAAACTTGAACTTTATATGGCTTAGTGTGTCTGTGGTGGTCTGTGTGACATGTTCTGACATTTTGGTGTGTTTCATGTGCTCTCCCAGATTGTAAATCGTCACGGTCCTGAGGCAGACAGGCATCTACTACGCTGTCTCTTCTCCCATGTGGATTTCAGTGGCGATGGTAAAAGCAGTGGCAAGGACTTTCACCAGGTAACTTTAAATTTGAGACGTTTGAATTCTGGATTTTCATATCTGCTGTTGTCATATAAGGCTGCAGCTAAATATTGGCAGGGGAGCAAAACAAAACTCTTGAGTGGGTTTAGACAGGTTTTCGTCTTACTGGAAGGGATGTGCGCAGAGCCATTAGGTGGAAAATACACTTAGCTTTAACACGGTGGCCCAGTGTGCGTGTTTGTTTTTCAGTTTGCTCAAACATTGCTTATCTCAACTTCTTCGTACTTGGAAAAAATTTTGATGGGGGATCTAAGGAGGTGCGGTGTGGCATTTTAATGTTTTTAAATTTGTTTGTTGTTACCCTTTGATATGTTTTCACTGACATCATCCAAGGTGGCGGTTTGTTCACAGCATACACACACTTTGTTTAGGAAGAATACCTCAGTTTCTGCAAGTTTTTTTTTTTTTTTTAAGGCCTGATCCTGAAAAATTGTTGGATCCATAAAGACTGGAGCGTGCCATGCACTCAATCTACACGGAGCATGTAGATAAGAAGTTGGCTGCCAAATGGCAGCATGGTGTTTTTAAAATTTAAATGTTTACAAAGGATATGTTCATTGCTTTCTTTGAATTTGGCATTTTTCTTTGACATTTATTGCCGCTAGAATGACAGAAACAAGGACCAATAACAAAGTAACAGCACCTCTTTTCTTTTAAATTTCAGTGGGGATGTTGTTTCCAAGCAAAATGTCCCATTCCTTTTATAGTATTTTGAGCATGACTCACTCAAGCCCTACAGAAAAGCCATAACCACCCTGAACTCACACATGCACTGACAACACACTTCACCCCCCCAATCCAACGACTTTAAACAGACTACCATCACTACTATGCGTTACTTTATTTACAGTGTGCCTTATTGCACATAAATTTAGAACTCTATTTATTTTATTGCAGATTTGTATTTTTTACTTTTTATATTTTTCTGACTACTGTTCATGTGTATATAGTTCTGCAGAACTGCACCTCACACCCCTTTCTTTTCCCACATGTTTGCATTGGGTAGGAAAGCTCTGTATCACATTGTACGTGAGAATCGGGACAGTAAAAGGCATTCTACTCTATACAGCTGTGAACACATGTGGCATCAGTGAACTCTGTGAGAGTTGAGAGATTAGACCTTAGGGATGGAGATGGGGCTGATACTAATTGTCTGTGCTTGCTCCTTAGACTGCCTTTGCAACATTGGGGGTCTTTTGTTTTTGTTGTAGTGATAATAACTGTAAATATACAACCTCTGGCTGCAATTTCTCCATTTTGAACACCAGTTAATGTAATGTATAAGGATATAGGCGTTTGACGTGTCAGAAATACAGTAGTTACAGACTCTGACCCTCGCACTGCCATCTACTTACTTGATAAGTAACATCAAACAGACACGTAAGCTTTTAGCAGTGGATGACCAGAAACTCTGTTCTCGCTCCAAACAACTTCAGAAAATAATCAGTCTTTTAAAGTTGCCTGAAACTTTCCTTTAACTTATTATTGTTTGTGTTTACAGCCGTAATTTGTAATTTGGCAGAAATAAAGAAAAAAATGTCAAATTTATCCTGCTCGAATTTCAACTAGACTATTTGGAAAGAATAAAAATGGTGTAAACAAAACATTAGGGTTAGGGGGTTGCAATATGGAAACTAAAATGTAAAATGGTTTCACTTGGTAAGAACCGTTTTAACCTCTGGTTTAGTTTCACATCTCTTCTTGAGTCGGACTGCTGTTGCTTCTTGGAGCCCCAGTAATACGTAGAAGGCTGATGTAATCAATTCCTGTTTAGTATGTTTTTCTTCTTCTTTTGTGAATTTAGCGTTTGTTATTAAATCTGTCATTTTCTGAAAGCTGTTGGCCATGAAAACATGAAAATACATCTTCCTTTGAAATTACCTTTAAACTGTTGGAGCAACTATTGTAATAAAATCAGCTTCCAGCAGCAAAGTGCGAGTTCACTGTGCGTGGCTGTCCAAGAGTACAAGTACCTTCTTTTCACTTTGACAGTAACTTA